ATTGCCTCTATGGGCTCCTGTATGCATTAATTCTGTTGGGCGATTTTCCAGCTCAACATGATCAATCTTCCAACAGTGAAGTAATGTAAGAACATTTTCCAGTGACATTCTAACATTTTACATAAATTAATTAATACTCATTAAATGATTGACAGTTTAATATAAATAGATTAAATTTTGTATATTTTTTTTATTTTTATTTAATTTTATATAAACATATAATAAATAGTGACAATTCACTATTCACGAGACATTTAGTATCGCGCATTGTTTGCATTTCCCTTTGTTAAAAATAAATAAATAATATTTTTGTACATCCTTACTGAAAACTGCGAAAAAAATTTCTTAACTAAGGCTAAAAGTATTAATTGCTAATATAACTGCTAGAAAAAAATTAAAATTCATACCGGAAATAATTCATATTATTGTGTGCTTTTAATAGAGCATTTATATGTTTCTTTTGTTATACAAGAATTCTTGGTATTAGCTGCGCAGTCTTGGTTATTTCTTTTTTTTTGTCTCCCCCCTCCATTTTCATGAACACGATACGCCCTCGTATAAGTTAATAATAAATTATTTGTGTGTGGGTTTTACAAATAATATTTATTGATCATTTGCTTCGCACAAGCCCGTTAGGGTTAGTGTTACTGACAAAGATAAAATATATCGCGAGCTAAGGCTGCATTTGTTTCGCACGAGCCCGTTAGGGCCAGTACTGCCAAAGATAAAATATATCGCGAGCTAAGGCTGCGGAGTTCTACTTAAGACTGAACTAAAATACTACCCGGGCTGTACTTCGAAGTCTTCGTTGGGATGCGGCGCAGTTGCCCAATTGCAGTGTCAGCATTCCGTATCCGGCCAGCAACGATCACATGTTGCGCAAGTGCCCGAGCCGGTCCGCGGACAGTTGCCCTTGGAATGCGTAGTCAGCACCTCTTTCGTTACGCGTGCGGGCCACCGGATCCGGTGTGCAATTTGGCACTTTTCCTAAATTCTGTCTGCGCGTGTTAACTCCTCCCTCCTTCAACTTTGGCTTCGCCCGAAGCTAGCTTTCCTTTCTTGTAATACCCTTGCACAGGGTATTATAATTTTGTCCAAAAGTGTGCAACGCAGTGAAGGAGACATCTCCGACCCTATAAAGTATATATATATTCTTGATCAGGATTACCCACTGAGTTGATATGAGCATGTCCGTCTGTATGTCTGTTTCTACGCGAACTAGTGTCTCAGTTTTAAAGCTATCGACCTGAAACTCTGCACACACCCTTCTTTCCTTTGCACAAAGTATATAAGTCGGAACGACTGGGATCGGCCAACTATATCCTATAGCTGCCATATAACTGATTGATCGGAAATGACCCAACTTTCGTTTTTTTGAAGATAGAAAGCTGGAACTTAGTACAGATTTGGTCAGACTATATCCTATAGCAGCCCTATAACTGAACGATCGGAAATGGTATTTGGTAGATATATCAACTTTCGTATTTTTGAAGAAGAAGCTCGGGACTTATTTTTAGATTTTTTATTGTAATTAATTGGTTTTATTATGATGTAATCATAAGGATCGGCCAACTATATCCAATGCTTGCGATATATATCCGGCGTTAATTGCAAGGGTATATCAACTTCGGCTCCGCCCGAAGTTTGCTTTCTTGTTTTTATTTAAGGGGGGAAATACGATTAAAAATTTATATATTTCCAAAATTTTTTTTTTTGTCTTAATGTAGCCTTAAAACGCATAAGGCCGTCCGGTACTTATTTTCAATATAATATACAATTTAGTGAGTGCGTGTCAGTGGTTAACATTAGTGAGTGGTAAACTTTAAACGCTTCTACTGTAAAGTCGTGTTTTCAAAGTCGCCGTGGAATGTACAGGTCAGAGATTTCATTTCAATCGCATGTGGTTTTTGCTTTATGTTTGAATTGAAATTCTCCACAACATGAATGAAAGGATTTTTCATATTTATTTGTTGTAACATGTTTTTTTTTACGAACAAAGTCAAAAAAAAATGTTTTTTTTTTTAATTTTTTCAGTTTTATATTTTTCATGGAAAAACCATTTGTTTACATATGAAATAATTCGTGTTGTGCGCTGTACCTCTAAGTTTAATGCCCAGTTGCTGTTTTTTGTTTTAGACGTGAGACTGGAGACGGCACGGCGCATAGTTCATCCCCCAAAACACGACTCATAAATGGGCTTAATTACAATATTTTTCGAAAAACTTGACTGATTTTCATTGCCCAATAATTTCCTAATAACATGCAAAAAGAATCGCTAAGATTCATTCAATTCCCTACTTGCAAACCACTCCCAAAGATAGGCCTCATTTTAGGCCTTTTAATTGTATTTCCTTTTATTTTATTACATTGACTGATGTAATGCACTAGATGTTATTATTCAAAAAAAATAATTTTAAGTTTTTTCCCACTCTCTTCGTTCGTTGCCTTCGTTGCCGAGTTAGGCAAAAATAGTCTCTCAGTTATTCGTACTAATACGAAGGCACTTCGTTTTTGTATTGCCAAAAACTTTTCCCTGCAAAAAATCACTTTTGGTTGAGATCTCAGACAGAATGGTTGACATTAACACATTGACATACAATTTCTTTTATTTATAATTTTATTACAGTTTTTAATTTTAATTTAATTAATATTTTTTTTTATTAATTTTTATCCATTGAAAATGGTACTATAATTTTTAACAGTGTACCGACATGACTTACAATAAATTTCTCGCTTCAATGTATTGGTGATTTTTTGCATTGGTATTGGAGTTTGCTCTGTCGCACTATGGGGAATTCGACCAGTTTTTGTGACATAAATTAATAACTCTATATCGGAGCAAGATATTTGACTTCTGTTTTTTGCATGGGCGTATATTGACCAATATCTTTTACCAATAGAAAAATAGAGGGCGTGGCACCCTTTTTTTGTTAGGTAATTTAAATTTCTGCATATTTTAAGAGTACTAATTAACTAGTTCTGTGACAGTACTTTGTTGTATTTCATAGCAAATAGTGGGCGGGGCACGCCTTTAACAATGTATTGCAGTTTTAAGAAGAAAGTCCATCTGAAGCATCGTGTGCACCTGTAATGAAAGACAATAAATAATTTATAGAAGACATATATTTTCCCTACAAACCTCTTAGAAAAAATCCAGCTCTTCCTTCTCCAATTATATATTATATTCATGTTCAAAATGCACAATATTTAAAGAGCTTTCATCCTCACCCGCAGTGGTGTCATCGGGATTTTTCTGTCGCTGTATTCTTTTATCCAAATTCACTGGCGAAGACTCTGCAACTTGCCTTCTGCAAGATATATTGCCCTTCGCATGAAAAGGCAGGGTTGGCCTGACTTCTTGGTTGTCGGAAAATTTATAACAATTTTTGAATTCAGCTAAACTACATGATGCCGGTGAAACTGATTTAAATTAGCACCTCTTCCATTAGAAGAGCACCTCTTCCACATTTGCGTCACGCGGTAGCAAATTTTTTTACTCGCATGGTCTACGATATCGCTGTACTCTTCAAAATTCACTCCTCAGATGAAATCTTTAATAAAATGAAAGACAGCATTCTCCTTTGCAACTTTTCCCTTTGCTTCAAACCACTTCGCAAAAAAATCTGTGTTTGCCAAGTTAAGATTATATCATAAAAATGAAAATTTCTCGCAAAATTCGAAAAAAACGGTATTTTAAAATACATTCATTCGAACAAGAATTTAATACTCTACAACATCAATACGCTTCGTGGATGGATGGAATGCAATAGCTGTGTTTGTCGGCTGATTCTTTTGTTGTGGCGCCCTCTATCAAAATTTCTGGCTTGCACCACTGAAGATTGGTGAATTTGGAATACGTTGCACTACAACTTTTTTTAATTTTTGGACTTTCAGAAAATGGGTTTTTGGCACAAAAACTGGTCGAATTGCCGTATAGCATAGTGTGCCGTATAGCTGAGCTTGGGCACCCCTGCTCTAGACTCAGTTTACTTCATTCTGATTCCGTGTCTAGTCTTGAACTCAAATTATCAATGGTTGGTTCCATTTTTTAGCATTATAGATGCAGTTTCTCCTCAAGAGCTGCGGCTCCTGTTTCCTTACTCATGGTGAAGATGTACCTAGAGTTATTGGCAGACGTGTCTTTATCGTTGGCTCACTTTGTGAAGACGAACGGAAAAATTCCGCTACTTCAATGGCTGATTGCTGACCTTTAACGACAGATTTCACTTATCTCACATGTTTTTTAGAAGTATTCGCCTAGGTCGCCATCGTCTGGGTCCTGTCACGATCGCCAAAATGTTCATGCAGATTTCCTGCAGATTCTATATAATTTTCTGACTCATTGAGGAATCTGCTTAATTGACGAATTGGCTGAGCTGCATATAAACATTTAGGGTAGTTTTACCCTTTTGTCTTTTCTTGCTCTTCTTTGCTCTTCTATAGTGATGCTAAACGCACAGTCAAGTTCGCAGAACTCGTTCAATAGTTTCCTCGAGATCGATAACTATTTTTATAACATTGATTTCGGGAACGTTTGCTTAATTTCTGCAACTCTATGCTTGAACACCTCCATTTTTGGGACTAACAAGGTAGAAAACTCTATAAATGGGGTCTAAATGGATTGGTTGCACCTGGTTGCACCTGGCTAATCACCTGATCGACTGAAAAAACAATTGATTTACGAAACTAATACAAGAAAAGAAACCAACCACCCCCCCAACCCGTTGACGACCATTCGCATATCATATTCGCGACCAGTCCTCATACGTGAGGACTTTAATGGAACCAACCAGACTGGCGCAGTTTGAAGGAGAAATGGAGAAAATGCAGATCGCAATCGCAGGCATCAGTGAGATGAGATGGAGAGGTAACGGGACAACAACAACATCAAGCGGCAATTTAGTGATGCACAGCGGGACCAATGTACAAACAGTACAAACAGGCACTAATTTCCTGGAGTCCAGTATCCGACAGAATCATCATTGCCAGATTCCGATGCAATGCTAGACACATCACCATCGTGCAGTGCTATGCCCGAACAGAAGACGCCAGCGATGACATCAAAGACGACTTCTACAACTTCCTCACTCACTAGGATCGAAAGAGGTGACATAAAAATTCTTATGGGAGACTTCAATGCGAAAATCGGCCCCACCAACAACGGATTGGAAACAATCAAGGGCCGACATGGTGTTGGCACACGCAGCAATAATGGTGACAGGCTGATCGACTTATGCCAGACTTTCCAACTGGTTATTGGTGGCACTGTATTCCCCCACAAGGAAATCCATAGATACACATGGACCTCTCCGAATGGACATACTCGCAACCAAATCGACCACATCTGCATAAGTAGAAAATGGAGACGCTCGATAATGGATGTTAGGAATAGGAGAAGTGCGTCTATCGACAGTGACCACGAGCTGATAATCGGAGAGCTTTTAATCAAGCTCAGACGAAATAGCAACACTGTCAACAGGACCACAAGAAGACCACCTCCTCTTAACGTACAATGGCTGAGTGACTCCAACCTATCCACCAGAATGACCACAACGTTGCGTGAACAGATGACATCACAACCGGAGAATCACTCATGGGAACAAACATGCAGTGTACTGAGGATCAGCTGCACAGAACAACCGAGCAGCACGCAAGAAAACTTCAGTAGTATTGTACCGAGCAATAACTTCATAATATCACCCACGGCACCATCAATTAGAAAAATAAAGGATGCTATCAGGAAATTAAAACACAACAAAGCGGCTGGAGATGACGGCATAATGGCCGAAACACTGCATTCACATTTCAATAATATATGGGAAAGTGAGCGGATCCCAACATCCTGGAAAAAAGGAACCATCATCAAGCTACCGAAGAAAGGAGACCTCAGTGACTGCAACAACTGGCGAGGCATTACCCTTTTGAAAACAAGTTACAAGGTACTAGCCACTCTACTGAACGAACGTCTTCAGAAAAAGATCGAGCCAACACTACGAGATGAACAAGGAGGATTCAGACCACACAGGAGCTGCGTAGACCAGGCAAACACACAACGCGCAATAACCGAGCAAACTGTGGAATGGCGCTCGCCGCTATACCTCTTGTTCATAGATTTCCAGAAGGCATAAAAGATATTCCATCATTTTGGATTTAATTACATCTAGGGATAGTTCAGGGGATAATAAATGGGACAATGAAATATAATTTTTACAAATAACGCGAAATGGATCGTGTTCAGCAAAATTGGACCTAGAAGTTGGTAACCAAAGGGTCGGAAGGATCTAGTTACTCTATTAGGAACAGAGAACATTAATTTTTTAAGAAGTACTTGTGAGTCAACCTGTCCAAGAATAAGCACATGAAGTAGCATAACCCCAGCACAAGTACGGCGCTCTTTTAAAGGAGGTAAGTTTAATAGTTTTAATAGTTTTTACCGGGAATGATATGAAGGAAGGCAAGCGGCAGTATCCCAGTTTAAGCTTTTTAATGCAAATAACAGAAACTGCTTTTGGACTGATTCAATCCTCCTTTGGTGAACAAGGTATTGCGGACTCCAAACGCTATAACAGTATTCCAAGATAGGACGAACCAACGATACGTATAGAGTTTTAGTTGTGAAAGGATCATCAAATTCTTTAGACCAACGTTTGATAAAAGCAAGCACGCCTCTGGCTTTATTGACCGTTAGTAATACGTGGTCGTTGAAGGACAACTTATTGTCAAAAATTACTCCAAGATCGTTAATTACAGCTTCGGAGTAATCGTTAATTACAGACACAGCTTCGGCTAAAGCCGAATTCAAAAAAATTATTCTGAAAAGAATTAAGATGTTTTCGACCTCTAAAGAGGCACCCACCTTCAACACATGGGTCATCGCTACTATTCGAACTACGAGTGACGAACCTGTCTACTCCAAGTACGAATTCTGCCGACTACCCTTCGGCCTATAAAACGCAGGGAGTATTTTCCAAAGAGCCATCGACGATGTGCTGCGGAAAGAAATCGGCAAAATATTCTACGTCTACGTTGACGACGTTATTATCTTTTCCGAAAATGAAACGGAACATGTCAAGCATATTGACACGGTGCTTAAGCGCCTACTCGATGCCACAATGAGGGTGGCACGGGAAAAAACAAAGTTGTTTAAAGAGAGCGTTGAGTTCCTAGGGTTCATTGTCACCAGAGGAGGAACAAAAACAGACCCAGAAAAGTTAGGGCAAAAAAAGAGGTCCCGGAACCAAAAAATCTGTTTAGCCTCAGGTCCTTTCTAGACCTGGCGAGCTATTACAGAAGCTTTGTAAAAAACGTTGCATCTATTGCTAGACCTCTGACCGCCATCCTCAAAGGGGAAAACGGGACGGTCAGCAAGAATATGTCGAAAAAAGTAGCTGTCAGGTTTAATGAAACCCAGCGAAATGCATTCGATCACCTTCGTAACATTTTGGCATCCGAAGATGTCATATTGACATACCCTGATTTTAAATCACCGTTTGACTTAACCACCGACGCCTCAGCGAGTGGAATAGGCGCGGTACTATCCCAGAATAAAATACCTATTACCATGATTTCACGCAGGCTAAAAGACTACGAGCTGAACTACGCCACCAACGAAAGAGAATTAATGCCGATAGTCTGGGCAATAGGCAAACTCCAAAATTACCTGTACGGTAACAATGAGGTACGGATCTTCGCAGACCACCAGCCTCTCACATATGCGGTATCCGACAAAAACACCAATGCTTAGATCAAGCGATGGAAAGCATTCATTGATGAAAACAACGGGAAAGTGTTTTACACACCCGGAAAACAAAACCTCGTAGCTGACGCGCTATCGAGGCAACGCCTGAATAACTTATAGGCTGAGGCCCAGTCTGACGCGGCCACGGTGCATAGTGAGCTTTCGCTCTCATACACCATAGAGATTACAGACAAACCTCTTAACTGCTTTAGAAACCAAATTATTTTGGAAGAAGAGGGCCAACCGCTACGGCGAGATTTCATAGTCTTCGGAAATAAAACTCGCCATATCAGCAATTTCAATAACAAGGACTTGCTTTTTGAATCCGTTAAAGAGATCATCAACGCCAACGTTGTGAACGCAATTCACTGTGATTTCCCTACCCTGGCTCGCACCCAACATGCCTTGAGGCAGGAATTTCCTGCGACCAAGTTCTGGCATTGTAAATCCTTCGTCAGTGACATAACCAACGCTAATGAACAGTTGGAAATCACTAACACCGAACACAATCGCGCCCATAGGGCTGCCCAGGAGAACGCAAAACAAATTCTCCGGGATTATTACTTCCCGAACATGTCAAAATTAGCTAGCGAAGTGGTCGCAAATTGCAAGGTCTGCAATAAAGCCAAATACGACCGCCATCCCAAGAAACACGAATTGGGAACTACGCCTATCCCATCAAACGTTTGGGAAATGTAGTATATCGACATTTTTTCGACCGACAAAAAAATTTTCTTAACTTGCATTGATAAATTTTCCAAATTCGCTATCCCTGCAGTTCTGAGCACTAGTTCGTTGCTGGTGAAATAACCCTGCAGAATTGGAGGTGTCGATTGGCCATTGCCGATTGCTTACCTCGCCGATCACTACATGGGTACTTACGAAAGTGACCCTATAGTAAACGAACGTCGAACCACGTAGTCGATTCGATTTAGCGATTAGCCCTGGGTAAGTGCTTACCTCGTCGATAACTACATGGGTACTTACTAGATTAACCTTATAGTAATCGAACGTCAAACCACCCAGTTAATAAATATATGCGCATTAGCGCATAAGTACAAAATAACGGCAAGCATCGCTTTTGGTTTTGTTATTTTGTGGAAAGAGCATACACAAGATTAAAGACAAAACTTCGATTATGCTTTACATCGCTGTTTGTTTGTGCGCGTCTTCGGTGCACTGCTTACAAAAACAATTGTCCAGAAAGAACAGTTTGTTTTATTTTGTGCTACTCTTTCGCTTAAACGCAGCTGTGTTTGCTGGCTGTCGAAATTTTTGCAAGCATTTGAGTTAAGAAGTACAAAGCGGATCAATCGATTATTAGGTGAGTGACTTAAAAAATAATATATGTTTGTAATATAAAATATGTTTATGTATATTTTATGTATAAATATATTTTAGCCAATGAAGTGGTCTTGGTGTGTAATGTGGATGGCGTTCAGGGGAAAAGTGCCCTAACAAAAGAAAAAAATTTCTTTGGCGTTATGATCGGTGAGTATTTTAAAAGATAATTGTTTAATAATCATTATACACTTCAATCTATTAAAACTTGTTTAATCCTTTTTATTTATAGATTCAATAACTGCAGTCGGTGGTATTGGCCCAGCTGAGGAACAATCGAGAAAAGCCCTGCAGCTCCAAAAAAAGAGATTTTAAAAACTCAAGCAGCCTAAAAGTAATGAAAAAACCAAACCCGTTATAAAAAAAAAATTTTAACTAAATAAAAACTGAAATTGCAATTTTACATGTTTTTTAATTTATAATGGCAGGCCCCTCCATGGGGTCCAATGTAAGTACTTACTTCACCGACCACTTCATGGGGTCCGATGTAAGCACTTATTTTACCGGCCGTTCCAGGGGGTCCCATGTAAGCACTTATTTTACCGGCCGTTCCATGGGGTCTAATGTAAGTAGTTTCTTTAAAGACCCTAATATGATGCACTTTTTTACTAGTTCGTGGGTAATCGAGGCGGTGGCGATTGACCCTATTTGCGGACATTTCATACAAAAATGGAAATTAAAAAACGCATGGCTAGACGCCACTTTGTAAGTAGTGGTGGTCTGCTGGTAACAGAAACTGTTCTTTCTGGACAATTTTTTTTGTAAGCAGTACACCGAAGACGCGTAAACAAACAGCGATGTAAAGCATAATCGAAGTTTTGTCTTTAATCTTGTGTATGCTCTTTCCACAAAATAACAAAAAAAAAGAGGTGCTTGCTGTTATTTTGTACTTATGCGCTAATGCGCATATATTTATTAACTGGGTGGTTCGACGTTCGATTACTATAAGGTTAATCTAGTAAGTACCCATGTAGTTATCGACGAGGTAAGCACTTACCCAGGGCTAATCGCTAAATCGAATCGACTACGTGGTTCGACGTTCGTTTACTATAGGGTCACTTTAGTAAGTACCCATGTAGTGATCGACGAGGTAAGCACTTACCTAGGATCAATCGCAAACTCGAGTCGACTAGGTGGTTCGACCGTCGTTTACTATAGGGTCACTTTAGTAAGTACCCATGTAGTGATCGGCGAGGTAAGCACTTACCCATGGCCAATCGACACCTCCAGTTCTGCAGGGATCGTACAACCCTTGATTTCTAGGGCAATAATAGTAAATTTTCAATTAGTACATTTTTACCCTAACACCAAGACCATATACTGCGACAATGAGGCCTCCTTTAACTCGGAGACAATCCCATCATCGCTGAAAAACCAATACAGCATCGAAGTTGTCAATGCCCCACCGCTACACAGTAGCTCCAATAATCAAGTTGAGAGATTTCACAGTACCCTGGCGGAAATTGCCAGATGCCTCAAAATTGATAAAAAAAAAATTGAGGATACTGTGAAACTAGGTCGCTACATTCGGTCACAGAGTCTAGGCCGGTAGAGGTCATCCACGCCAGCAGCGATGAGATGAAGCTGGCAATATAAGCCAAAGTTGACAAAGCAAAACAATCCAGCCTAGACCGGGTTAATCCTTCGAAGCAAAACCGGGACTTCGAAGTCGGTGAAAGAGACCACCTTCGCAACAACAAAAGAGTAGGGAACAAATTGACACCGCTTTATTCAGAAGAGCGTGTAGAAGCAGATCTGGTAACATCTGTTCTCATTAGGGGAGGATGGTCCATAAGGACAACATTAGGTAGGCATTCCACCTGCCACATTCGCCCTTATATTAAAGCCCAATCTTTGCTATAATTCCCACAAAATGACTTAAAAAAATAGCTTAAAAGACCACTCAAATCACTCGTGCTGCCAGCACAACCCAAAGACCTTCCGTCTGCACTAGCGTTAGCGCGAGAGGCCGAGAACAGCATTGAAAGAAGTGCGTTCGCGGCATCCTACGCGAAAGCTATAGAAGACAAGTCCCATTTCAATGAGGGC